CCGATTAGTAGAAATTAATGGACTTATTTCATATTTTCAGAATATTTTATTAGGATTTTAGCTAATAGACCAACACAAAGTATCATATTTTTCTTTTCTTTTTATTTTTTTTGTAAGGGGGTGGGAATGAGGGTGAGAGAGTGCCGAAAAACATGGCGTGCATTTCTCTAATACTTCACAATTTGTAGAGAAACATATTTGCTGGAAGTACAGCTGGGAGTCTTTTGGGGGGTAAAATAAGATTAGGTAGAGATTAGCTCCATGCAACAACCAATTTTAAAGTTTTGACAGATTGCCAGCTAGAGGTCCAGACTTTGACTGAGCTCCTTCGACAACTAAAAATGTTTTGATCTAAGTAATTCCATTGCATCTCTGACTGCATGTTTAAGGACATTCTTCTGGCAGAAGATGAACCCTCTGCCCAAGTGGTTAGACTTTTAAAACCTCTACCAGGTTTTCTACAGGATTGGCCATTATCTTTCTCCAATAATTTCCCATCATCTCAGAGTAACTTCGGTGTTCCTGCTGGGGGAAAAAAAAAACAAAACATTTGTACAACATGATGCTGCCAAAGAAAACAATACATTGTTGACAATTATGTATGACATTGTGTTGGTCTGTAACATTTTTTTTTTTACAATAAAACACTTTGACAAAATGTGAAGATCCAGGGGCGTGAATGTCAGGCAGTGTAGGAATACATAAGATGAGCAGCTTCTAGATGTAGTTTTGGAGGATACATGCTGAATTTTTCCATAATTGCATTAAGTCCACAATTTTCATGCAACTGCCCAAGAGGCTCAAAACTACCCAACGTTCCCTGGAAATTCCAGTTTAATGGACACAGAGAGATGCAATAATGAATCATTAAAAGTAATCTCATTTTCTTTTGTCTTTCTTCCTTTCCTTCTCATTTAGGTTTTACTGGTGCTACTGTTGAACCAGCCATGATCCTCAACGCCTCAGAGCTGCCCTGGGATGAGTCCTCGGGCCTGGAACCTTTCTTCCCGCTGGACCACCAGGAAAGCTCCACTCAACCCGAGCTCCCAGCCCTCACCGTCTGGGGCGTGGCCCTCTGCATTTCAGGGACTCTCATTGCCACTGAGAATGCCATTGTGGTGACCACCATCTTGGCCACCCCATCTCTCCGCGCCCCGGTCTTCCTGCTGCTGGCCAGCCTCGGCCTGGCGGACCTCCTGGCAGGCGTGGCCCTCATCCTGCACTTCCTCTTCCGGTTCTGCGTGGAGCCCAGCGATTGGTCTGACCTGCTGACCTCGGGCCTGCTGGTGACCTCCCTGACCGCCTCCCTTTGCAGCCTCATGGGCGTCGCCCTGGACCGATACCTGTCGCTGAGCCACGCCCTCACCTACGGCTCGGGCCAGTCGCGGCGCAGGGCCGCCACCCTTCTTCTCCTGGTCTGGTTGGGCGCTTGTGTCATTGGCGCAGGACCTGCCATGGGATGGCACTGCCTTGAGGAGCCAAGCTCCTGTTCTGTAGCACGACCTCTGACCCGCACCTATCTATCCCTGCTGTGTGGCGGCTTCCTGATGGTCGTGGTTGTGACGCTGCAGCTGTACGCGGGGATCTGCCGCGTTGCGAGGCGGCACGCCCACGCCATTGCAACCCAGAGGCACTTCCTGCCCACCAACCCGCCGTACCCAAGCAGACACAGCAGTGGGAAAGGCTTCTCCCGCCTGATCCTGGTCCTGAGTGTGTTTGTGGGCTGCTGGATGCCCTTCTCCCTCTGGGGGCTGCTGGGAGACGCGTCCAGCCCTCCCCTGTACACCTACGCCACCTTGGTGCCGGCGGCCGGCAGCTCCCTGCTCAACCCCATCCTCTACAGCCTGAGAAACAAAGACATTCGGAAGGTGCTGCTCCACGCCTGCTGCCCACGCAGATCTTCAAACACCACGCGCACCCACTACCCAGTCGACGTGTGAGATCAGTCAAAGCAGCACTCAATCTATGCCAGACATATCGTTGTGTAACGTGCCAAAAACTCTCGGTGTCGTAAACGTTCAAAGAGTGAAAAACGTTTCCCTCCCCCACTGAGTGAAACACGCCTACACGCCCAAGCAGCATTTATTTTATTTTATTTTATTTTATTTTATTTTTTCAGAGCTGACGTCCTCCAAATCAGAATGTACTGAATAGTGCTGGCCGGTGGCCAGCTTGGGACTAAATGTACTGTCCGCTGTCTACTTTGTGCCTCAGACGACTGTAGCTCCGCTGGATCTCCAGAATTAAACAATCAGAGGGGACGCTGCAAGTTTGGACCACATCAGTGTGAGCACTTTAAGAGGAGAGGGAGCGCTGGGTCTTTAACACCTCGTGGTGTGAAAACGTGTGATCCAAAGCCCAGCTTTAATTACTTGAAACGTGTGAGAAACAAGCGGGAATATATTTTTGCACATGCTGATCAAAGCACTTTGAGATGTACTGACTGTATGTTTGTTTGTTTTTTCTTTTCTTTTTGTTGCACAACCTTTTGGAGATGGATGAATGTTTTATACTGATGAATAATAAATAAGACTTTTTTTCTACTGTATGATGCATCGTTCTTTTCTTTTTTTTTTTACTGCAGCAGGAAGCTTTTAGTGAATTTTAGTGTCTCTTTCTCTTGCTCGTTAACTCACTTGTGGATAAACTGATGCTCAGGCATCCCGAATGATTTGGCTGCCAATGCAATCTGCAACCTCATTACGGTCTTTCTGAATCTCATGCATCCCTTTAAAGTCTACAGAGCAGCCACGGCTTGAGGGAAAAGCGATTATGCAAGAGGGTTTTCTCACTTTCCGCTCGTTTTCGGATCTTTAAACACCCCCGCACATTTAGATCCAGGCGCAGTCAAAAGGTGTCCACTGCTGATAAAAAAAACAAAAAACAAAAACAAGAGTGAGTCATGGATAAAGCAAGTGGATTGTTTTTAAAAGTTTATCTCTTAGGAACTAGGAAATATTAAAAGCCTTTCGAGCATTGTATGATTTAAACTGAAAATCTTTCTGAATTGTGGAAATAAACCTAACTTAATTCAGCTGGCTCCTCATAACTCGTGTAACTTTTAAAAAAGAAAAAAAACAAAACTTATTAAATCACATTTATAATTTTCTGCTCTGTCGTGATCTGAATTGAAAGCCTTATAATACAAAACAAGATGAGCTTTATAAATGCTATACTCACAAAATTTCTGTTTTCAAGCCAAACTTGGTTAAACATAAACTTCCCACCAAGAAGAACCAGCAGATAAGAGAACATAGACATTTTGTTGTCAGCCCTTAAAACCAGATATCAAGTACAAGGTTTTGCAGAGACAAAATTTTTCATTTTGTGCTAGTCAAGCACTTAACTCCTTTTAAAATAGTGGACAGTGGTGCAGTTTTGTGATGTTTATAAGTACTATTAGAGCCTAATACAGTGGACCACCACCTACTAATCTATTTGCAGATTTTTCTGTGGAATGCAACTTCAAATTACTTGCTGGAAACTGGCTGATTTCTTGTAGCTCATTTCTAAACTATTTTGTAAAAACAAAAAAAAACAAAAAAGAGTGGAAAGCTAAAATACTACTTGGCACGCTATAGGCTGGTATTTAAAAGCAGTCAATCCAGGAGTGGCATTCATCGTACCTCCAAGAGCAGGTCAGTAATGCCAAGATGGTTTTTACTGTGTATTAAAACATATTAAGGTAAATTTGGGTCTCGAGTACACGCAGGTTTTAGCTACTGAGGTTACGCTGGACATATTTAAAGTCTTTTAATACTTGCAATTAAAAATATTCAATTTAAGACGCTGTGAATCCAGCAGAATATTCGAAAAGACTTGAAAATTACTTCTGTATCCAGTCAGACTGAGCCCAAGTCATCTTGCAAATAACAGGCAAAGCTTTTAGTCCCTGAGCTAGAAAGACTTTGAGCTGTAACAGCAGAAAAAGATTTTTTATAAAGTATTGACTCAGGGGCGCTGAATACATATGCATACCACATTGTTCAGAACTCCAACAATCTCACAGAAATCCAAACCGGAATTTAAATTCAAATAATATTTATTGAAACAAATCATTCGGAACTTAAAGGGAGGAAAAGCATCAATTTGGCAAGACATGCTGTGCAACTGTGCAGCAGAACTGATGCACTTTACATAAAAGGCACTTTAAATTTGATTAATCAATTAAACCTGCTATTAAATAGGCTTAAAAAAAATGAAAGCACAGATACTACACTGCCAGTAGAAAGGCACTGGATGAGGCAAAAGTCTGCCTCGTTTGATCACTGATTAAAGCAACAGAATTTGATTCATTCCCCCCCCCCCCCCCCCCCCCCCAAGAAGAAAAAAATAAAGATGATCTCAGGAAAATACACAATACAAATAAAATTCAATACAAATCCCTCATATTTATCTCCATGTGTTCAGTATGGCAATATCTTGCATTCATTTAAGGTTAGTTAATTTACCAATTATTTGTTCCACAGAAAATATTAAAATATAGAAAGATGGGATTAAAAAAATGGCAGAGATGCGTCTTAAAGGGGATTTAAAATTACAGCAATGATTTGACTTCATGATGGAATAGAAACGCACAACTCTGACATAAAAGTCAACATTTCATGTCTCTTTGGAGGGCATTCAGCAACCGTGAAGTGAGGATGTTAGGCGCGTACATGCAAACCTGTTCTATTAGTTTTGTCATAGAGTGAATGAAATGAGGCATGAAATTCTGACTAACGGCAAAATAAAAATCAGAAGTGATTCGTTTATGCAGATGATCAGGAGGGAGAAGCGTTTCATGCCTCACAATACTGTTATATCAACCACTACGAGTTGCTTTAAGAAGGCTTTGGCAAACTGGGATATAAACAACCACAGTCACACTTTCGTTCTTCACAGACGATCTTCACAGAGGGCCTCGGAAAGTTTGAATAATTGGAATACACCAGTAAAGGAATGTGATTTTAGAAACGTCATGATGTCTGCACAGAGTGGCTTAGAAAAAAACAAACCGATACTGGAAGAATGTAATACAAAAGGAAATGACCAGATGTTGATCAGGGCTAATAAGGTAAGATGGTGGTAGTGAAGCTGAGAGGAGACGTGATCATTCGGACCACTCCTCATCGTCGAACTCTGAGGAGTCGTCCTCGCTGTCGCTGCACTCCACGGCGATACGGCGCGACAAGATGGCGGCCACGTCGTTGCCAAAGTGATCCCTCTTCTCCTGTTCCCGCTGAGCCTCCACCTTACGCAGGTTGAAACCTAGAAGAAGAAGTTAGTCGACGTTTAGTTTGTCTGTGATGGGCTGCAAGGAGCCCCCACCCCGCAGAACCAGGAAGACGAAACCAATCTGGTCTGCTGAAAAACTGCATGATGATCAGCAAATGTGAACATTTTGGCAGATTTGTGTCGCTATGCAATCCTAAAGAAAACAATATACCAGTGACTTCATCCCGGAGTCTGGCTGTGGTAAGCTCAGAGAAGTTACAAAAAGCCCAGACATACATTGACTAAGAAATAAAGCTTGCTTAGCTGTTTGCCTAAAATTGATTGTCTATAAAATGAATCTGACTTCAGGACTTGTCAGCAAACTACAAGGTTTCCATCCTGAAGAAATGCAGGAAGCACATCGGGAACAATAACTTTATAATAAATTATCTCTGAAGCACGGTGGTGGAGGCCTGATGACTGGGGCTCATTCTCAGGCTGCAGAAAAAACTTTTCATTTCCACTTAAGTTTAATTTCTCACTAAGGTAAGAAAACCTGATGTTTATGCATTTATCTTATATCTAAGGTTCAGGACCTGAGTGAAGTTGCCACCCCTAATACTTTAAGTTAAACAAAATTGGTGTCAAACGTTTGTGCAGCAAAAAAAATTAAAAATTTAGTTTGTTCCGCTGTCAATTTAAAGTTATAAATAAATGTTGCCAGACGACATCAAAGGTCAACCAGCCAGCCCACATTTACAAAACGAAATAAGGTGTCAATTTTTAAGATTAGATAAAAAGGGGGTCAGAGATCAACCTGTTCCCTCATTCAGATCAAACAAAACTGATATGAATTAATTTTGCTTTGTGCAGATAAAAAAAAAAAAAAAAAAAAAATTAGAGCCCAGTTGATTTCCCCTAACTTTTTTGATTTTTTAAAT